AAATATAAAGAAGATGAGTACAAGAGAAATTAATATTGGGTTATGGAGAGACAGACATACATAGAACTTAACTAATTAGTTTATGAGTCTAACCGAGGCTTGTAAACTTAGCCACTTATAACCTAACCTAACCTAACCAAGGATTGTAAACTTAGCCACGTATAACCTAACCTAATCTCCCAAAAAACCCTTCCCTCACTCACAGAACTAACCCGCACAAAACCCTCCCCCACGCAATCCTTCCCCCCCACGCAATCCTTACCCCACACAACCCTCCCCCTCACAACCCTCCCCCACACAATCCTTCCCCACACAACCTCCCCCCAAACACATCTCTTCCCCCACAACCCTCCCCACACACAACCCTTCCCCCCACTCACATCTCTCCTCCCCCCAGACACACAACCCTTCCCCCACACACACACAACCCTTCCCCCACTCACATCTCTCCCCCCCCGACACACAACCCTTCCCCCAATCATCTCTCCCTCCCCCCCGACACACAACCCTTCCCCCACACATCCTCCCCTCACAACCCTCCCCACACACACAACCCCCCCCATCTCTCCCTCCCCCAGACACACAACCCTTCCCCCACACACACACGACCCTTCCCCACACACAAACCCTCCCCCCTCACAACCCTCCCCCACACACATCTCTCCCCCCACACACATCTCCCCCCACACATACCTCTCCCCAACACAACCCTTCCCCCACACAACCCTCCCCCACACACACAACCCTTCCCCCACACAAACCCTCCCCCCCTCACCCCCCCAGAAACAAACCTCCTCCTCAGAACCCCCCTCCCACCCCCAGGTGACGTAGCAGGCCACCTGCACACCCTACCATGCCTATATCCCAACCTGCTCACCGTCTCTTCCTCCCTCCCTCCCTCCTCTCTCTCCCCCGAGGTTTTCCTCTTATCGCAATACGTATTTTTAGCGTTCAGAATGTCGAAAGCCATGAAATACATTCATTCATTACAGGCGTTCGTGAGTTATTATGTATGAAACTGTAAAGTGAGAAGGTACACAAAAATTACCTGTGATAATTGTCTTCTTTACGACTATCTCTTCTGTACACTGTATATTCTTTTTATATATATATAAACAAGTGTTGTTTTAAGTAAATATCAGCAAACTGGAAAAAATGCCCTCGGTACCTTTAATAACTAAACAGAAGGGGGCGGAGTTTGTGGTGGGCATTGGGTGGAGCCTTCTACACTGCCCCCGCCCCCCACTAAATACCCCTTACCCCCCTTTCCCCCTGAGTGCCATGGGTAATATGGGTGAGGCGAGGGCGGCGGAGCATCTAGGTGCGTGTGAAGTGCCGTGAAGTGCAGTGAGGTGTTCGCGCTCGCCCAGAGAAGTGCCTCACTGAAGTGGGGCAGAGTCGAGGTGAACCGCGTCTGCCTTGGTGGTAGTGTTGGTGCTGGCGACAGTGGAGGTTCGGCCCTGGTCCTCTGCATTCAGCAAATCGGCCCTGTTTTACGTCAAAAGTTGAGCCTCTTCTTCAGCAAGAGTCGGCCCTTATCTTCAGCAAGAGACGACCCTGTTCTTCAGTAAGAGTTGGCCTTCTTTTTCAACAAGAGCCTGTCCTGTACTTCAGCAAGAGCCAGCCCTCTTCTTCAGCAAGACTCAGGCCTGCTCTTGTATTCATTTAAGGTAGTTTTGCCTGACTTGCGGTGGTGGTGTTTGTAGTGAATAGTGGTGGAGGGAATTTCAGTGTGTTTGTGGTAATTTGAACAGTGACTGTCGACCCTGTTCCGTGATCACCCAACGCCCGTGCTCTCCTGTGTTCGCCTGACGTCCCTGTGTGTCCATCTTGAAGTCCCCTACTGCCCTCACAAGGTAGGGTAGGTTGATCTTACGCTGCCGGTTCACATACTTTAAATAACAACCAATTTGGGTCACTTAAATGAACAACAGGTCTCCCAGTACTACAGGTCTCCTAGTACGACAGGTCTTCTCGTACGACAGGTCAACTAACACAAGACACTTCTAACACTAGGAAATTACTAGTACAGATTTTCTAACGCTAGCAATCTACTAGCACAGGTGGTTTCTTGACTAACGCTATAAATCTACTAGAACAGAAATCTACGAGTAATAGGTGGCTATTAGCTTTGAATGTCCACTGGAGCTAGTACTTGGGGGGTGCTAGCATCTTCCTAGCAACTACCAGCATTAGAAGCCTCTTTCATAAAATGACTTTCAAGGTTCTATATAAAATAACTTCCAAAGACAATAAAAACTTTACTACATAAGTTACTCATAAAATTACTTACAAAATCGCCCATTACAATACTAAAAAAAAAATCCTACAAGTTGATTGAAAAACTTGACGACAAAAGTTAAAACCCTATTGGCTTAAAAATTATTTTTTTAAATAAATTAAACAATGACTCGTAGAAGTTATAGAATGACTTAGGGTGAGTTTTGCAAGTGACTTAACTGGCGAACTGACCTTAATGGCTACATTATGAACTGACTTTTCCTGTCAATCCTGAAGTGCATTTAATTAGAAGACATTAAGGAATTTAGCTGTTACCTGACTCTTTAGTTGACTACTGAACTGATTTGACGCAACTATGAACTGATTAACAGGTAAACTGACCAACAGGTGAACTGACCCAACAGGTGAACTGACTAACAAGTAAACTGACCAACAGGTGAACTGACCCAACAAGTGAACTGACTAACAAGTAAACTGACCAACAGGTGAACTGACCAACAGGTGAAGTGACCAACAGGTGAACTGACCCAACAGGTGAACTGACCCAACAGGTGAACTGACTAACAAGTAAACTGACCAACAGGTGAACTGACCAACAGGTGAAGTGGCCAACAGGTGAACTGACCCAACAGGTGAACTGACTAACAAGTAAACTGACCAACAGGTGAACTGACCAACAGGTGAAGTGACCAACAGGTGAACTGACCCAACAGGTGAACTGACTAACAAGCAAACTGACCAACAGGTGAACTGACCAGGTTGGAAAGATAAATTGTTGCTGACTCAGACCACTACTGACCCTACTGACATACCCCTCCCCAACGCAAGATGATCCTTAGCTGTACTGTAGGTGTGTCTCTTTGTGTTTCTCCTGGATTGTCTGTTGAGTTTTTTCGTCTGTCTGTCTGTCTGTCTGTCTGTCTGTCTCCATTCTTCTGTCGGAGTATTTATAAGACTTGTCAATTATAATTGTCTGACAGTGTGTGTGTGTGTGTGTGTGTGTGTGTGTGTGTGTGTGTGTGTGTGTGTGTGTGTGTGAGAGCTAATTTCTTAGATGGTTATAATAATAATAATAATAATAATAATAATAATAATAATAATAATAATAATCATATTATTATTATTATTATTATTATTATTATTATTATTATTAATCCCGATTTTTTCGTAAATGCCACAAACTCATTTTTATTGACTCAAAACAAAAGGAAACAATAAATTACAATATACTTCTTTTCTCAAGTACACTCGCGCCTCTCGTCTCCTCCCCATCCACTCCCCTCTCCCATTCCCGCGTTTTATTTACAAACATCTTATATTTACGATGCCTATTGGTAATCCGTATGCCTAGGTCATTGATACATTATTTACAAACATCTTATTTTCAAGATGATTATTGGCGAAGCACTATACCAATCTCACCGATGCATTATTTACTAGATTTCCACGATCACCATTGGTTAAGCACGAATCTACATCAACGCATTATCTACCCAACTGATGCTTTTGCGATCGCTATTGGTCATGAACAAACCTATGTCATCAAAGAATACACCAATGAGGTTCCGATTTTCGAAACAACAATGATGCCATGATAACATTAGCACACTTATAAGCTTATGCCGTGATCTGAGTGTGTTAGTGTGTACTGCTGTGATCTGAGTGTGTTAGTGTGTCCTGCTGTGATTTGAGTGCGTTAGTTGACGAGGTAACGTGTTTGTCTGAGAGATCCTACCCATTGATGTGAAATATGTACCCTGAGAGACAGACAGACAGACAGATTTTCGCTTATATCCTCTCCTGACGAGCTATACATATGTACAATACCTCCGTTAAAAATCCATACGTTTAATGATATACAGAGTGACAACTGGGTGTGTGTGTGCTAATGAGTAGGTTGGTAGTTGTTGTTGTGGTATGTAATGAGGCGTAGTTAACACACATTATGACAAGGCCCTTATCATTTGTTGTGTGTGTGTGTGTGTACAGCGCCACCAACACCACCACAACGTAAACACGATGCAGACACTGACAGATGTGAGGCTTGTTTACATATGATGCTCCAACTCGATGTGACTGGTGAGCGGGGCCCCTTACCGTCAGAATGGTGAGCGGCCCTTACCGTCTGAATGGTGCGCGGGGGGCCCCTTACCATCTGAATGGTGAGCGGGGGCTCCTTACCGTCTGAATGGTGAGCGGGGCCCCTTACTGTCTGAATGGTGAGCGGCCCTTACCGTCTGAATGGTGAGCGGGGGCCACTTACCATCTGAATGGTGAGCGGGGGCTCCTTACCGTCTGAATGGTGAGCGGGGGCCCCTTACTGTCTGAATGGTGAACGGGGGCCCCTTACTGTCTGAATGGTGAGCGGGGGCCCCTTTCCGTCTTATTTATCGCTTTGTTCTTGTTGTCCCTCGGCATCTTACAGCCTTGAAGTCTTATATTTTCCCTTGCAGTCTTGCTGCCTACCAACGTCTCCTAACTATCCCTTTATTTCCTGACTCAGTTCGTTATTCCTGCTGCCTCCCGACTCCCCTCATCATAGTGTACGCACGGTAAACATACATAAAGATTATCTCACTTCGAGGATTGTTTTATAAAGACAGACAAGACCGATACATAGAATGATTAACACAGACAGGTTAGATGAGTAGAAATGTTGGGTAGTTACAAGGATAGATCGACATACTGTGGGATCATCCTCAATCCTGACTTGGATAAACAGTTGGCTATTAATTACTATTTGTGACAATTATATTCAGATGCGCCTCGGACTGGTGATGTGGTACTGTGTGGTGGGTGTGATGGGCCGCGCCAGGGAACCCCCACCGCCACCACAACACACGACCCCACAAGATGTACTACTGCCTCAAGACACGTTACCACACGACACTCTGCCGAAGTACACGCCCTTACTATACGACACCCAGCCACAAGACGGGTCACAACACAGCTCCGGCACCCAGGAGGAGGTGATACATGCTGAGGTAAGTAAACACTTGACGACTAATGTAATTATTAATCTAGAATACAGAGACCTTAGTTGGTGAAGAGCAGTAATGTATTATATCAACTACACTTTATATTGAGTTTTCTAACTTTTCTTTAGTTTGTAATGAATATTTTTATGTTTGTTTAATTTTCGTCTCAAGTTCGCCAATATTTTCTCGAGCTTCAAATTTGTGTAGCTACAAGACTTAGGTGTTCTTTAACTTTCGTCTTGGGCTCGTCGTGTTTACACCTCCTGCATTAATTATCTTCCAGTGTATTCAATGTTTCGCTACTTGTCTTTCATAAAAACCATCACCGTTTTCTTGGTGTTTACGCATAGAGAACTTTTACACTAAGGCAATCATGTTGTTCGAGACTAACACACCATGACGCATATTTAAATACATTATAATCATTTCAGTTTTTTCTCTGTCTGAGAAATGAAATTTTATGATATATAATTTTGATAAATTCTAAAGGTTTCGATTCTTTTTAAGAGTCCTTAAAAAGGATGTTAATCCTTATGATAATTATTTCCTTCTTCAGGAACTGCTGGAGAAGTATGGCTACTTGGATTGTGTGCCCCCTGGCAGTGAAGACAACGTGCGCCTGCACCGTCTTCTACTGTATCGGCGTCAACAGTCACCCAACACCCCACAATACGATCCTCTGGATTTCAGACTGGTGGCGCCACACACAAGAAACTTACCTCAACAAACGGAATACCACACCAGTGGTGACCACAGTATGGAGAGAATGCACAGGTGGGAGACACTGCCACAGGAGGACCTACAGATTCCCTCAGTGCGCCAAGACTTGCTGTCTCCTCTCTGGAGCTCCCGAACAAGTGCCTCCCAAAAGGAATTGAAGGGGGAAGAGGGCCCCTCAGTAGCCGTATGGGACCCCGATACCAACCAACTCCACTATCTCTCCGTCTGCTCTGACGCACAGATACAACAAGCAGTACATAAATTTCAGGTAAATAATGCTAAAGTTACAATACCTTAGACCAACAAAGCTAAATTTTAAATTTGGCAAAGGCAAGTCGCGGAGTATAATACTGTTCATTATAACAGCGATCCTCTATAGTTTACTGCAATTTTATAACCATGAAATTGATGAGTGGCTTTATTATGTCACCCTAATAATCAACTGTTATAATGTGAGGGCCGGGCGGTAGGACCCGTGAGTCAGGGCTTGGGAAAACAAGTATTGGGAGTGGCGGTCACGATAATTCAGTAGGTTTTGATTGGTGACTTCATTCATTGTGTACAACTAAGCCTTAATTCGACAAGTTTTTATTTGTACTGTATGTGTTAGCGAGTGGTTAAATACGTGACTTTGTGTGCACAAACATGTGTGCTGAGTGCACACACAGTCACTACATATTATCATCAGCTGGTACTTGAGCCCTCACCACTGTCTTTCAAGGCACTGTACCACGTGGGTGCTGGGGGCACGCTGGACCACGACACGATGGAGCTCCTCTCCAGCCCTCGCTGTGGGAACCCCGACACACTCATGGATGAGCCCAACAGCTTGACAGAAGAGCCAAGCCCAGTACTAAATCATCCGCGGTTTGCCAGGCATCAGAGTCGACCACGCCGAAGTACCGACCCGGAAATTTATAAACAGAAAACGACCGTGGAACCAACACAAAATACCGATCACAACGACGTAATCCAGCTCACTTTCCCTGATTCCAGTGATTCTAGAGGTCCTAATGTGCCATCTAAAGCTGGGAGAATCTCAGCAGGCACAGAAAAAAGCTCAAAGGAGACTATGTCAGACCAGGAACGGATGAGAGCAGTGGCAGAGGAGCTGAGGGAAGCGACTAGATCCCGCCATCCTCCAGTAGAGCAACATGTGGAGGGAGAGCCTCACCCCTCGGTACGTAAACAATATAATTAATAGTAATGATAATCGCATAACATTAAACACACTAACAGTAGTAGTACTAAGTGTTGTCGCAGTAGCATTAAGAATAACAAGTTAGACACCACTAACAGCAGCCACGACCATCCTAAGGCACTACAGTACTCTTAACGAGAAGTAGATTAATGTCCCAGTTTAAACTCACAACCACAGAATATTGTCCTGAATTTTTTTTTTTCGTGAGACGTGTGTTTAATGTGCAGTTTACATATCAACAAACACCTGACGAGCACACAATATATTTTTTCTCTCTAGTCTAAGTCAATGTCAGCGCGTTCAGTGATGATTTTTCTTAATTCGTCGAAATGCTGAAGACACAACGACAGTGACTTAAGAAGAAGGGAAAATACTGTGTGCACGTCATGAGGTTCCAGGTTTATAAACTGCAAAACACACTTCCGAGGACAAAAGCATGGCTCAAAACAATTTATAAAAGTTGCCACACTCCAGACAATACCAAGAATCTTAGTGGGAGCAATAGCATGACGCCTCACACGAACAGCAGTTATATAGCAGAAGGCGCCCTATAGTAACATAGTCTTGGTGTGTCACCCACAGGAAGCCTTGAGACGACGGCGGAGGTGGGTGGAGGACCTGATGGACAGAATACACTCCGGGGAGGAGGACGTCCGTTTTGCTGCCCTTACACAAACCTTGACCAACACAACTGGCCAAGCGCAGGGTCACACACGAGGCAAGAGATCCATCAATTCTCACTTAGGAAAACCATTTAATATGGTAAGGCTTGTCGGATGATTGACATCTTTGCCTTCTTCTTTCCTTTCCCCCCTTTTCTCACTTTTAGTTATTCCAGCATTGACGCACGAACAATTGTCAAAATTCTTTTCTCTTTTTTATTCTTATTTCCACTATTTATTTGGCGAACTCTCGCATATTTCGTGACTTCAAATCACTAATAAACCTGATACATAAACTGATATCTTGATTATTACTGTTGCGATCATCAAGTGTCAAATCCCCACAAAAAAATCAACCAAGTTCGTACTTCACATAACTGCTGAACCACACGTACCATATATAGACTAATCAACACCAATGGCTGAGTTTAACATCTTATTATAAAGGGCAAACATTAGTTAAGATAGTCACTCTCAACCGGCTTCCTCGCGGGTGTAACACAATCAACTCGACAGATTCTGAAGAAAAAACAAAACGGAAATATTTCTTCTTATTCCTTTGCAACAGAAGTAAAATATATTGAGCGAGTAATATGAGGCCTTGCAGAGTGGTAAAGTCATTTTACTACAGGGACTTGGTATGTGGTTACGTCACAGCGCAGGATGATTTTTATAGTAGTTTACGCGTATGTTAAGGTTTTGTCAACAGCCTGTAATTCTGTGGCGGCCAATACCCAAATTTCACTGACTCAGCCCTAGGTTACCACACCAAATTTGGTTCTAATTCGTGAGGAAGAGTGAGACACAAGTAAATTAATAGAATCATAGAAAATAAAATAGAGAGATTTATGATTAAGAAAGAGATTAAATACAGTGAAACAGATAAGACAGGATGATATATATTTAGTCTATATGTGATTAACTCTACATTCCCCCAGGTAGTCCAACACCCATTTAAGCCCGGAACAATATCTGACTTGTGTAAAGGTCTCTTTACCTCCCAAATAACTGTATCCCAACCTGTCGCACCTACAGGACCTCATTACCTGGCGCCTGGTAACGTCTGGGTATAGCTCTCAGCTGGGGGTAGGAGCTCAGAGGGCATCGCTGGCGCTCGCCTTTAAGATGTGGTCGGAGGTCATCCCACCAGTCTTCCTCGAGGACAAGATCTCCTCCAGTGAGGCCGTTAACATCAGCATTGGCTTCGGCAAAAGTAAGTCGATGTTTTCTACTATAAAAAGACCGAGAGTGAATGAAACCGAAGGGGAGTATGTTGGCTCGAGTATGAACGCGAGATATTGTGTGAATACGAAAATATTTAACGACGTGTTTTAAGTTCAGTTTCTTGAGTGAATGTGTCAGGTCGTGTGTGAGAACGTGTAATAAGTCTGGTTTTCATACAGCGATCGTTATATTCCATGAAAACTTTGGTATATCTGGCCCCCTGTATACCTTGTACATGTATGACGTTATTCAGAGAAACGCAGTTGCCTTGCCTGACGTCCTTGCGTGCTTCTGGGCGGAGGGGGATGTGGCCTTCCTACGACCTCTGTGTATACGGTCGCTGACGAAGGAAGGTTGGTAATGAGTGATGGATCAGCGTGCGGACGAGGCTGCACTAATATGACCCAGTAAAGAAACCTTCAACTTTGATATTTGTGTTTGTGCATTGTCACACACCTTTGCTTGTTACGGTTCAACAGATACTTTCTCATATTTCTTTACTACGGGAAAAATGTAATACGAAGACTTAAAAGGATTAACTCCATAAAATTAGTATCCAATGTTGTGTTCGGGAAAGGTTTATGGCTATGATTAAATGTTGACACATGGCATCGAGGCTCTTATGTGCAGATATACATGTATACACATTGCCCTTTATCGCTGGTCTGGTGGATATGTAAATATGAAGTCAAAACCAGGACGCCAGGTTAGCAGGGTCATGATGAGTGGGACTTCCTGCACTGCACAACCTTGCTCAGTTAAAATCGCTGACCGGTGAAAGCCATTTGTGTTTATCTCTGCCACCACGCTAGGGTTTATGATAAGACATGAAGCACTCAAATGCCTCTTGCTTGAAATATAGGTAAACAGAGTTCAAGCTTTTATTAAACTCACTTTATAACTCATCGCTGTTTATAAAGAATTTATTTTCATCTACAAGGAAGAGACGTAATAAAATCGGAGAAGACTAACGAGGGTTAAGGTGTTGTCGAGATAACGGCGTCACCACCAGCTTGTGTTATCAACCACTAAGTATTGCTTCTAAGGCGGCTTGGCTACCATTTAAATTATGCCCAAGCGACAAGATTACAACCCATTTGGTTTATCCAAGTGCAATGCATCATCCTGACTGTAATAGGATGCAGACCACCTTACACAAATTGCGCATTGCTGCCGCTCAGAAATTACGAGCTGGAACTTGATACACTATGCTTATTTAGCTCTGGGTGACTTGTAATTGTCATCTTAAATTGCATGCTTGTCAGTGTACGAGAGAAAGGAGACAAGAGGAGGTGGTGGGAAGCAGAGGACTGGGTACATAGACTCTTACCGTCAACTGTCAGTTATCTGGACGTTTTAAGTGCCATTTTCTAATTTATCGTGCACCACTGGCCAACCAGCCCCCGTCGCTTCTCCCCGCCACTACTTGCCCATCCTCCACTCGGAAAACTTGACATTTTATAACAAAAGATAGGAATCGATAACCAAGAATATATCGAACCTAACTATAATATAAGATATAACTACATAGTCTATTCATTTTAATATGGATCGCGATTGATATTAAAGTACCTTGCCGCACTTATTCAACCACAAGTTATATATATATATATATATATATATATATATATATATATATATATATATATATATATATATATATATATATATATATATATATATATATTATATATATATATATAATATATTGTCCCGCAGCATCCATTCTTCTCTCTGTCCTGGTTGACAGCAATTTAGCCAGAGCTAAGAGATATTACTGAAGCAAGAAAAATGAACTGGGTGCCCACAAGGTTAGATGAATCAGCTGACAGTCATTTGTCGACTTGTCGTCCTCCCTCACGCCTTGTGAACCACCTCAGCGTCCAGCAGCACGTGCCGCAGTTGTCGTACTTCCTTATACGTCGCTTCCAGTGTACTTGTTTTAGTTTTCCCTCCTACAACCTATACAACGTGATCAGTTTCCTTGACGTAGTCGTTTGTTCTTTCTGTCGTGCACAGCTGCTAGCCGATCCACATCTTTTATTGTTGTCACTTGGGTTCACACCGCTGTCAGCCGGCCGGCCTTTTTCATGGTTGTCGCGTCTCCTGACTGAACATCGCAGCCAGCTGACCAACCCCTTCTGTTGTTTTCCGTGGTTATGCGACACTCAGCTGATCTGCCTTTTTACTAATGTCGTTCTTCTTGATTATATACACCGCTGCCAGACCACCCACATCATTTACTGTTGTACAGACGCAGTCACGCAGCCACGATTAACCTACACCCCAAGTCGTTTATTTCTTATCCCCTTTACATCCAGACAAATAATCATGCACCAAAAAGTCCCAGACACAACCCTCGTCGGCGTAAAAAAATAAGCACAACTATAACACTCAATTTCAAAAACAGGAGTTGCTCATTTGACCTTTTATTCATAAAGTGCCAGGATGGTTGCAATTCACCTCCAGTTGATGCTCTCCTCCTCTCTCCTTACCCACCACCAGAAACGTGAGCATATTTCTCTTCGTTCTTTGTCATTCATTCACCCATTTTTACTGCTGTAAATTTTATTCCACCATGTTTCTCCACTTCCACAACACGAGGCCCAAATTTAGTTTACCCCCGTCGTTCACGTCACAATCACCCATCAGCACCATCAGCACATGCTCCCCCTCCCTGAAAATCACTAGGTGTCTGTCATGGTTTTGGGTGAGTCGGTGGTATAAGAGTGGATTATATTATATAAAGATAATAATATGTCGTATTTCTTATTTCTTACCGTAGAGTTCGATACCTTCACACTGATTACTTACAGGAGATTATGGTTATACTTTGTCATTACCAATCAGTCATTAACTTTAGTAATAATAAGATAGGATCACAGATACGGGCAGATAATTGCACTTACATTTATTTGTCAAGCTTCCATACAATGATTTACAATTTGCATGGATATATGATTCACTCACGTTCACTCTGTAATAAAGTTAATCTTCTAAAACAGGGAATTTCCAACTTGGGGACACATGTGATTACTCTACTGTGGGTATGACTTAACAGAGCCTTAATTCTTCAAGTGATGCATTTACTGCCAGCCTGGATTGCTTTTGTTACAACCAGGCTTCATCACAAGAACTTCTTTCCACGGCCATAACAACAAAAAGTACTCTTGGGTTACCACACATAGTCTCGCGTCACTGACAGTCACTATAGACGGTTGTCGCGGCAACGAGAACTGGTAAGCGTGACTTGAATTAACCATTAGGTGCAATAGACCAGCCTGGATTGCTTTTGTCGCAACCAGGCTTCCACACGTGATATTTCCACGGGGATAACAGCCTAGGTTAACACACTTAGTCTCGTGTCGACGACTGTTCACAGGACGGAGTGGCGGTGGACTCTGTGTGGTGTGGTGTCCCGCCCCCTTTCAGGAGGGAGAGGATGGAGACGACGTCTTAACTAACCCATGGCTCAGGGGATACTACTTAAAATGAGGTTTTTGGGTGTGAAGCGATGAACAGTACAACACTGTTCCACTGCCCACCCCCCTAAAGGCTGGCTAACATACACTAATTGAAAAATACATGTCCCAGTTATGCCTCGCCGGGCGTCTTATCTCTGGTAAAATAAACTTTGGAGTTGGTTGCGTGGGTAAGCCTAATGCAACCCATGACAGTGTCCATCCTTTTCCTAACGTGTACTTCACCTTTCCCTCCATCTTATTTTTTTTATCTTACCTTCTCCTTCTTACTGTCCACTTCCGACTTATACTCGTTTTAGCAATATTCTACTTCCCGTTCTCTCAGTAAGCCCATGAGCACACCTTGTTCAGCTCCCTGGCCCCTCCATTGATTTCGCTTTCACATCTTTCTGTCGTCATTATTTTCTTCATCCTATTTCTGTCGTTTCTAATTTGTCCATTTCTTTGCATCCAGAATCTAGGCTTCTTACCCGTAAATAATGTAGGCTTAACGATTCCCGTTACAATACTCAGGGTTCAGTTAAAGATTAGATACCTGCTTATTTAACCTGGTAATTAAACACCCTAATGCTATACTTGATAATGTTAGGTCAGGTTAGGTTACGTTACGTTACGTTAGCGTTATGTTTGGTTACGTTACCTTACGTTAAGTTACGTTTAGGTAGGTTTTGGTAAGTCATCACGTGAAATAAGCTGGGGTGCCTAAGCTTCAGGTGATCAGCTATCAGTCCATCTATATTCCTTGAGTATTAAGTTTACTTCCTTCTGCTAACATGTAATTCACTCCCAGTATAAAGTCCCAAGACAGCATTCACCTATTTCGAATAAACTCCATGCATTTTCAATTCTCTCTCTCTCTCTCTCTCTCCCTAAGTATGTCCAAGTGTTATTAGCATAAAATAAACCGACATAATGTTGACATAGATGGCGCGTAAAACAAAAAGGTCAGAAGAAATACGATGCAAAAAATATATTAAAGAAGAGAGAGAGAGAGAGAGAGAGAGAGAGAGAGAGAGAGAGAGAGAGAGAGAGAGGAAGATAGATAAGAAAAAGAATTAGAATAGATTGAGTTAATAGAGTTTATTGAAGCAAGCATGAAGAAAAATATATAAAAAAGACTAATAAAGACAGAGAAAGGACGAAGAAATGGAACACGAGAGATGACGGCTGCTAGCGGAATGGGTCGCCCGCCATGATGGATGATAGGGAGGGAGGGAGAGGGCGGCCAACACCAAGTGATAAATTAGTCCCTTCTGAACGTCACGTAGCTGCCTTATCAATCACTATCCCATTAGGTCCACTTTCCCATCAGGTCCACTTTCCCACCAGGTCCACTTTCCCATCAGGTTACTATCGCATTAGTCCCACTTTCCCATCAGGTTACTATCCCATCAGGTACTATCCCATCAGGCAACCATCCCATTAGGTTACTATCCCATCAGGCAACCATCCGATTAGGTTACTATCCCATCGGGTTACTATCCCATCAGGTCCACTTTTCCATCAGGTTACTATCCCATCAGGTCCACTTTCCCATCTGGTTACCATCCCATCAGGTTACTATCCCATTAGGTTACTATCCCCCCAGATCATTAGCCCACCTAAATAGATTAAGAAAAGGAGGAAGGGAGGGAGGGAGGGGTAAGATTTCTCTCCGTAAACACCCTCAGACAGTCGATAATTGGTGATAACACCTCTCCTTCCCTCTTCTTATCTTCTCCCCTTCCTCGCTCTCAAAATACACACTACACCAGTTCAACAGCTATTCAAAAAATATAATAGTTTTGAAGGAATCGGCCTATATTAGAAGAAAACTTGCATTGTCGAGTCTCTTCGCTGTTTACCGGTCTTGTGGATCAGCAGCTTCCTCAGTAGTACTAATGACATGATGCCAATTTCTTCTCCAGGGATGCTGAGGTATATATCTTTTCTCCGATGTTCCAATGATGTTGCTGCTCAGTGTTGACGTTCGAATAACAACTCTGGTTGAGCCAGATAAGGAGACAAACACTAGTATTACGCCGAGAGTTTTGAAGTCTGGTGGGTGACCTAAAGTCGTAAACGACCGCCAGACAACAAAACCAACGCGTTCAATCGATTGGTTAAATGTGGAGACAATTTTAATAACTTACTAATCTTCGTCAACTGTCAGCTACTTGAAACATAAGCATTTTTTTTCATAACCAAGCTTTGTATCTCAAAATTTCTACTTGTTCACAACTGATTTTAAAACTGTCACTATCCCTTCAGCGGCGAGAAGACAAACAACATGAACCACGAGCTAAAATTCATAAATAAGAGTAGAACATTGATGACCCATTTGGGATGTTACGAATATTTTTTATGGGTATATGAGGAAGATGGAACCTCTCTCTCTCTCTCTCTACCCAAGCACTAACACCACCTCCCCCCCCCCCTTTACAGGGAGTCACCTGGGTTGCGTGACGGAGTTCGACGGACTGGGAGGAGAGCTGGGCCACACCCTGAGGCCAAAACAAGACACCCAAATCCACATGGACGACGACGAACACTTCACCCTCGACTCTGACCTCGGAACCAATCTCATCAAGGTGACCCAGCTTCCCCTTACTACTTACTGTTATAATAATAATAATAATAATAATAATAATAATAATAATAATAATAATAATAATAATAATAATAATAATAATAATAAGACAATAATAAGAATAAACTACATTAAAATGAGTGTGTGTGTGTGTGTGTGTGTCAATCACTCAACGCTGTAGCTACAAGACCATGAAACCTAAAGACCTGAAACTATGCATGTATGCTAAGGGGACCCTAGGGGTGTGCAACTCGGTGTTAACTTTTAGATTTGGCTCAAAGAAAAAATGTAGGGGCGGGGGATAAAGTACAGGGAGTCATATGCAGGAGTGCAGTCAACACCCCATACTGGCCCCTCGGGGTACGAGTACGACCCTCACCTAAAAGTGTAATCGAGTCACGGACATAGGCTATGAACTACCCCTCAAAAACATACCCGGCAACAGGATATAATAAATACAATAATACGATAATAATATGCTAATCCTACGGTCTCTCTCTCTCTCTCTCTCTCTCTCTCTCTCTCTCTCTCTCTCTCTCTCTCTGCACCAGGTGGCTGTACACGAGATCGGGCACGTGCTGGGGCTGGAGCATGTGGTGAGAAACTACTCCATCATGTATCCCGTGTACGAAAAAGTCCTTCCCAATCGAGGTCTCGAGCTGGGCTGGGAGGACCGCAAGTTGGTGCAACAGGTTCACGGCGCCTGCATGGGGGCCTTTGACACCGCCTTCGACCTGCTCAGGTGGCGTCCAGATGGCTCCCTCACCTATAACACCTTCTTCTTCAGGAAGGACCACTACTGGATGTATGAGAACAGGTGGGTGGTGTGTAGGAAGATGTGGTGGTGAATGGATGGCTGGATGGATGGCTGGATGGATGGACGGACGAATGGACGGGCGTACAATGTCAATACCATACAGTACATGACATACACTAACCATTATACCTCATACACCTCCCTCCCAATCAATATATATATATATATATATATATATATATATATATATATATATATATATATATATATATATATATATATATATATATAAACTTATGATATACGAAACACATAAATACATAATGAACAAGAACAACAAACATATAACACACACACATTAATACACATTAACAAAATAGATGCAGACGCCTAATGCTGGTGCCGGAAGTATCTAATAACACCAACATGAGCAAACATAACACCCGTATGCACGCACAAGACGCATTCTCACGCTGCCCACTTCCTTGCGATTATATAAACACAGCATACACATATACACAGGGCATTAACTGATAAAAATATAAACAGTCAAATACAGAATATATATAAACCCAATATACATATATACAACACAACATTAGCCCAAGGGATACAACTTAAGGCACCAAGAGCTACTAAGACCATCCCCCATGCGCTCCTCTCAGTCCCAGACCTCCATAAAATATCATGGTGTGAAGGTGTGGAACAACTTAACCCCACCCATCCGAGCAAAGACTATGCTCTTTTCCTTTAAATCATCTCTTAAAAAATATCTATTGTCTATGTATTAATATTTTTTGTAATACCTACTATATTCACAGTACCTGCTTTTATTGTACCATCAAAACCGTTTTATCGGAAATTATCATGTAAATAGATAAGAAATTACCATTGAAATAAATATATTTGCCAATTAGACATAATCCTGACAGCTCTGTCCTCTTGCTCAACCTTAATACTGTACAACCCATGTTGTACTGCTTCCCCATTATATTTATATGTTTCAATTCCACTGTAATTTATATATATACTTATAATACAAATAAAAAATGAAAAATAATAAATAAATAAAATAAATAAATATTGAAGTGATAACCGTGGTAACATAATGAGATGTTCTTTTTACCACCATGCTATTGTACTATTCCAGATGATACTAAATGTTACATAACACTTCCTCAAGATAAATGTATATAGTATATATCAGGTGCCTACAGGAGAGCTCAGGTTCTCAACTGGCTCAGCCATGTTAATATTGTTATTATTATCCACTTTGTATCTGTGCTTTTCTGGCTAAATAAACTGTTTCAATTCAATTCAATTCAATTCAAAGGTGCTGCTGCTACTGCTGCTGCTGTCAGTGCTACCACCATTATTACTACTGCAAATACTATTATTTCTACTGTTATTTCTACTACTCCTACTACCATGGGTATCGATTGTCATTCATCAGTGGGAGGAATATATTTCCTTCCCCATTATAGTAGACGTTCATGGTTATTGTTAAACAGTGAGTTTTGGTGAGTGGTGAAGCTTTCTAACTTTAGCCTCCCTCTGGGCTGTAAACTTCCTGTTATTCATTCACTTTCGTAGTTTCCTAATTTTTGTAGGGGAAAAGTATAAGAATTCTGTAACATAAAATGAAAACTATTAACTATTTATGTGCGTAAGCCATCGACCGATTCCAATATTCCTGAGTTCAAAGGTTTTTCCCGCTCAAAAATATAGTTGTACACAAACAAGAACAAGAGCATGGACCGTGTGACGGTGTATGATGAGCCATCCTTGCTTTTCAATCACTTTTATTTCGTCTTAAACACACAATGCCCTATGTATTGGTGCACAAAGTAACAAAAGCTGTGATCAAAGTACAATAAAATCAGAGAAAAACAGGCGAAAATCGGAATTTATACAGTACTCTACTGTGTCAGGACTCGGGAGCGGATTTTAATAGTGGCCTTGGCATCTCGTTCTACGCTCGACACTTCAACAATGTTCTTCATATTTAGATTATGATTGTAAAAAAAAATCTAAATTTTTTTTAAGTGCACAGGAGTTCTCACATGAAAACAGCAGCAAATGGAGGTGAACAACAATGTTACCCCCTTTCCTAAGACCGATGCCTCTGATTATATTACTACTTCTACAATAATAACAACAACTATACTACAGGTACAACCGCACAAGGTTTGGGGACCCACTGTACATCCAGCCAGAGTGGCAGGGCCTTCCCGACAACCTGGACGGCTACGCCCATGTCTGGACACGCACTAAGGATGTCCACCTCTTCTTCATAGGTAGGTGACAGTCCGTGTGAGGGGTCGCGATATACCTGTTAAGTGACAAAGAGCGATATTATAAAAAAAACAAATATTGCATTATAATACTGTAAGCTTATCAGGACCAGCTATGTAACATGGATGAATAATAATGGTGATGGGAGTAATAATAGCAGTAATAACGGTAATACAAATACTGTAGTAGGAGCAGAAGTAGTAAGAAAGGGAGGTCCTGGTACCCCAGCTTGTTTACTCTTCCTGCAAACCTCATTTACCAGTTTACCACCGTTCCCACACACACACACACACATACATCACCTCCTGGGGAAGCAAGAAAGCAATGGTCATGGGGTTCCAATAGCAAATAATTTAATACAAGTGTGTAATGAATCATGGGCAAAAAATTAACGGAAATTACTGAAAACTGATTGATAAAAGGATAACAAACAACCAGAGGACGACCACTCCCGCGGTTAGATATACAAAGGGACTCTGGTTACACACTCGCACCCTGAACACACATACGCGTGTAAGTTTGCTTTGAAAATAATATTATAAATACTCGTCTCAGTTTAACAATATTATGATCATATTTAACATTAGGAAGCAATACAAGTGTAGTGCTAACTAAGTAGTTGATGCATACGTCCTAGCAGGCGCTGCAACTGTTGTGTCGGCCGTATTTCTTTCTGACATGACGGGCCAAACGTATTTGTGGTGGGTTTAGTTCGCGCTGGCTTTAACTCTTTCGTGATACACATACACAGCTGCACCTTAAGGTGCTTGGACATACTCATTATAAGGGTATTCACGTGGCCAACCTCCGAAAAACGTAAAAATAAATGCCATGCTCTCGCTTTGGACTGCAAATCCCGACAATTGGTTGTGACAGGCAGGAAAAACAAGTGTCGAGATCACTTACCCTCACGGCCTGAACGTAGCAGTTTTTGTTGCCTCACTACTTAGTGCCAGCTTTCCCCTTGTCCTCCCCTTCTGGGAATTTGTAGAGGGACAAGTGAGACAACAGCTTTATTTGCCATAGCGTTATATTTTAGTCTCCTCAAAACTTTACGCCTGAAATTGACATATGTTTTAAAAACAATTTATATTTTCCATTACAACTTAATTATTTATTATATACTTACTTTTTCATAATTCGTCCTGATTTGCGAAGATAGGGAGTTTTTGCATGCATTTTCGACGAAGGCTGCTGCTGGTCGGATCAGGCAAGAGATGTGTACAAAAGGAGGCTCCGGGACGATGCTCCCCCTCCCCTCCAGGGGCGTCATTTCAGATTTTGCTGGGGGGCGGGGGGGGACACCATTACATGCAAAGAGTAGGGGTCAAAATCCTGCTACCGTGGTGCCGCCGGGTGTGCTGTGCAACACGTTTTATATTTTCAATTTACATCTGCCCAGTGTGGACCGCGTGGCTGTTAGCAATATGACTTACTTCCTTGCTGCTATTCAGTGTATAAATGACAGGCAATAGGAACGATGAAAATAGATGAATATTTATCATTTTGTTTAATTATGCATAGTAAAAATACCATTAAGATGTTCTCAACAAATCCAAATTCGTCTTTATGAAAAATGAATATAATAAAAATTTTCCTTGGAGAGCAAGACAGCCCTTGGGAAGGGTAAGCCAGGTCTTGGGGGGGGGGGTCAAGCCAGGTTTTTTGGGGGGCGAGTGCCCCCCTCCCCCTAATGACGCCCTTTCTCCCCACCTCCCATGAGGAAAACCCCTTCCTGAGTTGGCCATCTACAAACTACAGCTTAGGGCGCAGCTACACTCTCATAAACCCAGACCCCCACTCACAAGCTTGACAAGAGACGTGACCGACCGCCCAAGCGGCTAACGAGCCGATCAGTGGCGAAGAGGATAAAAGTAAATGTCAGATCTTCTTCCACTTATGGTAAAAGAAGCAAGGTGATTTTTTACTTTCGGACAACACGGGAATCTGAGGAATTTTATCTTTGCAATCAATAGAGTAGACAATTCTTAGATATTTTGCTTCTGTGACTTTTCCCTCGCAAATGACCAAACCTAACCTCCTTACCCCCTCACCCCCGGTCGTTTGCGAAGGAACGTTGTAGAAGAAAGGTGTCTTAGAATTGTTGAAGCTATTGATAGCAAAGATAAAAATTCCTAAGATTCCAGTGTTGTCCGAAAGTAAGATAATACCTGTGTTGTCCGAAAGAAAAATAATGCCCGTGTTGTCCTAAGTAAAATAATTTGTGTTTTGTTGGTTTTGACCTTGATTTCCGTCGGAAATTGCCTGGTTTTTTTAGTTATTGGGGGTTTTGGGTGGGGCGTTTTCCGACAAAAATTATGGCCAAGCGAATACAAAATACACAAAAAAACACTAGAAAAAACAGGCATATAAACCTAACCTAACATGACCTAACCTAACTTTCACCATGTCATGGAATCACTTATTTCTTACCTTATTGGCCTGGTTCTAGTACGTCGTTGGATTCTGAGATTAGTACAGGTTGCTGACGCTGATTGGTCTTGCCAATATTTACACTCCTTATTACATTTAGGACACTTTACTGAGGTCGGGAGAACACCAGAAGATCCCAAAAAATTAATAGCTTGTTCGTTTTTTTGTTTTTCAAAAAAACGTGCAGTGGGAGGTCGGGTAGGCGATAATGGCAGAAGATTAATGGAAGAAAATAGAGAAAGATTTGGGATGCGCTATCTCCGTTATTATACGTTTGCAACGGTAGTGTAAGAGAATAAAATTATCATAAAATTAGACGTCTTTTCGAAAATGATAATAGATTTGGGGAAGAAAAGTTGTGTGCACTAATGCAAAAATACCAGTAAAAATAATGCCCGTGTTGTCTAAGAGTAAAATAATGCCAGCAAGAAGTGGTACTGAATCAGGCTCGTCTTCCTTAATTTCTCAAAGCCCGAGAAATTTTCATACGATATTTCAGCTAGATCTCCGCACGTGTTGTGAACAGCATATACTTTTTTACTTTTATTTTTATCCTCTTCGCCACTGATCGGCTTGTTAGCCGCTTGGGCGATCGGTCACGTCTCTTTTCCTTTATATTCTTCACCAAAAGGTCGGCTCGCTAGCCGCCCGGGCGATCGGTCACGTCTCTGTCACGCACTGTTGGCAAATACTGGGCATGCACCGGCTCCTGAATGTACCTGAACCCGCTCCAGTGTTGGTCAAGTCTTCTCAATCTAGGATATGATTCTTCATGATATAGTATAATCCTTAGATCAAATCCCATGTTTTCTTCTGTTTTCTCAAGCAATCTTTAAAATTCAATGGTAATGCAGTAATGTGGACCAGGGTTAACCGACAACTTTAGAAAGTCTATAAAAGATAATTCCTTACCTCAATAATACCCCAAAACAGGTGGAAGAACTGCAATTTAGTTCGGTCCTAGCTATTTTTATACATAAATAGATGCTCAACCTTCCTGTGACACCATAATGTATAACTGTTTACATGAGCTTAACTTTTCATGGATAGTGACACTTATACTTTTATCTTCACCACTGATCGGCTCGTTAGCCGCTTGGGCGATTGATCACGTCGCTGTTACGCACTGTTGGCAAGTACTGGGCATGCACCGACTCCTGAATGTACCTGAACCTGCTCCAGTGTTGGTCAAGTCTTGTAGATTATTCCAAGAGCTCACAACTCTCATTCCGAAAAAGTTTGCCCTCACAGTTTTCTGCACCTGCGGCTTCTTCAATCTTGAGCTGTGACCCCTTGTGGGGAGAGCGTCCACCAGCTCCAAGTAAGGACACTCGACTGAGTAGTGCCCCTTGAGATGCTAATACACCTCAATTAGGTCGCCCCTTGCCCGTCTGTAGTATAAGCTAGGCAAGTTCAGGCGCTCCAATCTCTCAGGGTAGCTCAGGTGCTGAAGTGCAGGCACCAGTCTGGTGGCCCTCCTTTGAACATTTTCAACCAACTGACAGTCCCTAGCATATCTCGGGGACCAGTAGGGGTGACAATACTCCAGATGGGGAAGCACTTCACTCTTGAAGATCATTACGAGGGACGGACCGTCTGGATATCCGAACGACCTTCTTATAAGACCCAATAATTTATTTGCCTGTTTACCTTCTTCTCGCAATGGCCCGAGAACTTCAGCTCATTGTCAACATACACACCTAGGTCCTTTTCACATTAAGTCTCAAATAGTGCAGTTTCTTCATCCCGTTGGACATATGATACGCCTCCATACCGTTGGTATGCCCCAGATGCATGCACTTACACTTCGTGACATCGAATCTCAGCACCCATTTCTTCAATCATTCTTGGAGCCCACAGAGGTCCTTCTGCAGCTCTTCACAGTCCGCTTGGTTCTTGATTTCCCAAAATACCTTGGCGTCATCGGCAAACATTTGTATGGAGGAGTGAACAACATCAGGCATGTCATTTATGAAACAAGCAAACAACAGTGGGCCCAATACACTGCCCTGTGGTACCCTGCTTGTGACATGAACGGATGATGATTTTGTGCCATTAATCACCACACACTGCTTGCAGTTATGTAGAAAGTCTTCTACCCACGCTAGGACATTTCCCCGAATTCCATACCCTTCCAGTTTGATTTTCAACCTTTTGTGGGGTACACTGTCGAAAGCCTTGGCAAAATCTGGGTATATATTGTTGATATTACCACCCCGTTCCAGAATATGGGTCCAAACATCTGGGTATATATTGTTGATATTACCACCCCGTTCCAGAATATGGGTCCAAATATCCAATACCTTGAGTAATTGTGTTAAGCAGGAGTGCCCCGGCATAAAATCGTGTTGGCAATCCTTTACAAGGTTGTTTCGTAGTAGATGTTCCATCGCGGCATCTCTGATAATACTCTCAGGTACTTTACATATTATGCTGGTCAGGCTCACCGGTCTATAGTTGTTTGTGGAGTGACTATCGCCCTTCTTGAAGATAGGACTCACATAAGCCACTTTCCATTCACTGGGGACCTTTCGTTCACCCAGGTATTTACAAAACAGGATCTTCAGGGGCTCGGCAAGCTCGTTGCTCAACTCTTTTAGCACTCTAGGATGCACCATGTCAGGGCCGGGACTCTTATGGACCTTTAGCTTTGACAGTTTATTTCTAATACCCTCTTCTGTGAACACAATGTGGGTCAGTGCTGTGTCGAACCATCTGTCCTCAAATGCAGGAAGGTTAATCGCATCCTCTCTTGTGAACACCGAGGAAAATAAGCTGTTCAATGCCACAGCTTTATCCTGGTCAGAATCTGCGTAACTACCATCTTCAAGCCTCAGGTCTGATACTCCTACTCGCGTTTTTAATTTCGACTTTGCATAGCAGTAAAATACCTTTGGGTTTCACTTGACCTCGCTTGCAACCAGCCTCTGGAACTCCTCCTTTTCAGCCCTTCTACATTCTATCTTTGCTTGGTTTCTGGCTCTTGCATACATCCACCTGTCCTGCTCATCATTTGACCCAACCCACGTCTTGAATTTCTGTGTTTTCTTCTTAACTTTGTCGACCGCCACATGGTTCATGTGTAGGGATCCCCTCGTATTCCTAGAGGCACTGGGTTTGGTCTTGGGTATGTATTTATCGATCAAATGGGTACTTTACTAGTTATGATATTCAGCGTAGTGTCTGCGTTCTTGTGCCTTAATGAGTCAGGCCAGTGGATACCCCTCATCTCTTCCCTCATCCCGTTGTAATTTCCCCTGTAATATTTGCACCTTGGCCTGGCCTTATCTTGAAGTAGGTAACAGTTAAATATGAATGAAAACACTATATGGTGACTGGTGCCAACTGGGGCAAGGTTTTCCAGTTTGGCCACCATACCCTCCTCATTTGTTATGATGAGGTCTAGTGGCTTGGGTGTTAAAAATGGCACCCAGACAAGAAGGTTCCTGGGTACACTTCCAGATAACCTGACTACCAACAAGCAATGTGTATAACGTACATGTGAGAGACCAAACTCTTGCGTGTCTCGCTGAAATTACAGTAATATATTATTGCTGCATTTGCCGCTGTCTATAGGCTATACTGCCCATCAAATACGAATTGTTACGTTATATATCTATAAATTACAGCTATATCATGAACGACAAAAGCAAAAACTCCTTTACACATACATTTTTTTTTTCCATAATCTAATAAAACAAAAATAAAAGAATTGGATGAGTGCAGGACTGGAGCCGAGGTAAAACCTTAAATAAAAAAAAAATAAAAAATGCAGGTATTTATTGCATAAAAATGGATTTCACACAGGTGACTCCTATTACGTTTTCGACCCTGTGTCTGGACGTGTTGCCCCTGGCTACCCTCGCCACATTGCCCAGGACTTCCATGGGCCACCAACATCCAAGCGGCCACTCGGACGCACCATACCCAGTGACATAGACACTGTCTACTTCGACAAGAGGGATGAGAACCTCTACTTCTTCAAGGGCAAGAAGGTTAATGAAATTAATCTGATTATTTTCTTTTAATTATTGCATTAGATGGTTAAGTGAACTAAACCTTATAATTTTTGCGTTGTTAAACAGGTTTAATTTTTTCATTCATGGACCAAAGTTTTCTTATAAAAATAAGGAAGTTTATTGTTTTATACCAAGTTAATTTAAAGCTTCCCACATTTATTAATACCTGTACCTGTACAATAATTTGATGTTTCCAAAATGTATTTTTTTAGTTCATTAATATACTGTAGTTTCTTCTTAATTTTATCACTGCCAGGTTTACGGATACGATGTGAGCAAAGGGTCTACTGGATGTTGCCTGCCTGGGTACCCGCGACGAATCAGGGAAGAGTTTCCATCTGCTACCCAGGACTTCCGACCTCTCCCACGTGACCTAGATGCTGTCTACTACTCCTATACTGATCAAACACTCTTCTTCCTTAAGGTACAGTATCATATCCTTTTTTTTATTGTATTTTCTTTTAACTAGACTTAGACTTTTACTTTTATCCTCTCCACCGCTGATCGGTTCGTTAGCTGCTTGGGCGATCAGTCACATCTCTTGTTATGCACTGTTGGCAAGTACTGGGCATGCACTGGCTCCTAAATGCATATGAACCTGCTCCAGTGCTAACCAAGTCTGGTCTTGAAAGAGCTCACACTCGGTGCTGTCACAACACTCTCTGGCAAATTGTTCCAAGAGTTCACAACTCTCACTCCGAAAAAGTTACCCCTCACAGTTTTCTAAGCTTGCGGCTTCTTCAATCTTGAGCTGTGACCCTGCGTCCGCCAGATCCAGGTAAGGGCATTCGACTGAGTAGTGCCCTTTGAGATGTTTATACACCTCAATTAGGTCCACCTATGCTCGTCTGTAGTATAAGCTAGGCAATTTCAGGCGCTAATCTCTCAGGGTAGCTGAGGTGCCGAAGTGCAGGCACCAGTCTGGTGCCTAGGCATACACTTTCTTCTGATATGCTTAACTATTACTGGTAGGTTAAGCAGTTATAGGCACCTCCTATCCCTTACCAGTCTCACTCTGCCAGACTTCAATTCTTTTCATGTCATCGTTCATCCATATTGTTCTACTATTTGTTCCTGACCTTCATTTATAGTGTTTTTAATCAATTTTATTTATGCTCCCAGGGTCATATGTTCTGGGAGATGGTGACCTTCAACGCTCATGACCTGCTGCGGAACAACAGCGTGGTGGGGCCATTCTTCATCCACCAGAAGTGGTATGACATTTGCGACACTGAACCGGACTCCTATAATGCTTATAATATTCCCTCGTCTAGCACCAGGGTGAGAGATTGATAATGACTTTGACAAGTAAATCAAGTCCTCTACCATTAATAACCATAAACTGTCGCCTTTTCCGGTGATGATGTTCCTAAAAGATATTTCTCTACCACAATGTTAGTGGGAGATTTTAAATACAATATATTGTATGCTGTATACATATGATACCCTGAATAGAGATTTCCCTTGGGATTCGTAGGCTTGGGGTTTATCTCCCTTTAACATATAGACTTAATATTTGGTTTGTTTCTTCAGAACATTAGATATTTTACAGCACTCGTAGACCTCGGTATCCAGTAGCCTGTGTAACACCAATTTATGTTGGTACAACTCCAGCTCCTAGGGTGCTAATTAGTGACGTGTTTTTACGGTAGAACTCTGGCACCTTTCACCAGCACTTTACTACACACTGACTAAGAAAGAACCTCTTTTGTTCCAGCCCCCATATATAATTCATGAGATAAAAGTTACCCTTATAAGTAATTCATGAAAAAAAACAGTCACTCAGTCCCACACCTAAGTGATTTATGAAGAGATAATATTGTACAGTACAGTACTTTTGCTACTTAGCCCCATAAATGACTCGCTATGTAAGAACAGTCATTCAGTCCCCACGAATGGCATGTTGGGCCAGGATGACACCACAAAAGTGCTTCAGTAAGAGAAAAGCATCCTGTTTCCTTAAGTTCTTGTCACCTTACCTGTTTGATCAGAAATTGTACAGTGACTTCAGAACCCAAGTTTGTGGTTTATGAAGTGATAGTACGGGACAGTACTTGGCTGAAAATTAATTTAGGTGATCTAGAACTCCAAAGGCAGACAACTATTGCTTGTACAATAACTAAGTACAGTACAGTAATGTTAATATTTTTATTTTTTCAAAGTTGGACTACATGATGTGACCCTTATGTTACATCATATTTCTTTGAGGTAGTAATTATATAAAATAATACTGTACTAATGATCTGGACTGGTGATGTGGAGTGGTACACCAGTTTGAGTACAAACTTGGTGAGGTCATTGTTTACCTAATGAGGACAGTGGTAATTTGATGAATGTGTGGAGGATCTTGAGGAGGTCACTGGTGTTAGGATGAGGGACTGATTAGGTTATTTATGACATAGTGTGTTTTGGTGACCTGGTGAGGACTTCTTATGATATGACTTAAAGGTGCAGCAGTATTATAATGTGTTTAGAGTAGTGATGACCAGATGGGGGTATTGGTGATCTGTAAGTTAATCAGTACAGTAATTGTTAATATGGGGTAAAGTGACTTGATGCATGTAATAATGAACCAGTAAGTGTGGTGTTTTCTTGTACATTGAGCAGTGACTGGATAATGGTGACTTAGTGATGGTCACTTGAGTATAGTTAGTGATGACTTAATAGCACAGTTTGTCATTTGCCAATGTTACTTAAAATAAATTTGAGATGACATGGCAACAGTATGGTAGCAATGTTGGACAGAGGACAAAACATCACAGTAGAAATACTGTACTGCATATAGTTCAAATGCTGACAGCTGTTTTGTTTTAGTGTAGTTTGTTCTATGTCTTTTAATGAGAAAGATAATAATTGTAGCAGTGATTATTTGAAATTATTATCGAGGGTAACAGGTAAACAGTGCTTTGTTTGTCCTCTGCACCGCTACCATGGGGTCGCCCAGAAGATCTGCCCACAACTGTGTGACGTCAATGACAAACAGTGCTATATGAACATTTGTGACCTTTTGAGTGCAGTGGTGACCTGGTGAATGCAGTGGTGAGTTAATGAATGCAGTGGTGACCTGGTGAATGCAGCAGTGACCTGGTGAATGCAGTGCTAATATGACAAGTGTTACAGCAACCTGATTAGGGTAATGGAGAGGGTCACTATGGGAAACTGCAGCGCCATTTTTTTTTTTAATCTTAACATGTTTACATGGCAGGCTCATTCTAACATAGTGTGTTTATTGTAAACCATTACATTGTGTGTATAAAAATTATATAGGTTGACTCAGTCTTGCAATAACTGTTGATGAGACAAAAGAATCCATGTATCTTACAATCAGTTTTATTCACGGACTGTTTAAGATAGTAGTTATAGACCCTTTACCTGAATAATACAGGGCATTTAAAAGTAATTTTATGTGTGTATGTATGTGTGAGTATTTACAGAATCCTTTGAGGTAGTTACTCATCCAAAATGCTGGTATGTCCTCCATTATTTTCTTCATATAACTATATTCCTTACCATGTTTGCTGAGACTAAAACTTGCAGGCAGGATTGTAAAGAACTCATCATGGCGATCCGTGATGAGTTTTTACAATTCTGCCTGCATGTTTACGAGAAATATAAGCAAACTTGGTGAAAATTATGTGCAGAAAATGGTAAGAGTACAATACAGTTCATAAAAATGCTCTGAATGTGTAATTTCCTCAGTCAAATCTGGAAACACGAACATCAAAGGACTTTGTAAACAACCTGTATATATTGCCTTCTGACTGAAATATTAATAAGTGAATTTTAATATCTATTTACAAAGGATCTGGGACATAAATCTCTACTTTAATGTATGCTATGAAAACAGAAGCACCCCATCAAGTCCATGATTTAACAAAATTATAAATTTCTAAGTTCTGTAAACTCTTATAAATCTCTTGACTTAGGTGATTCCTTCCATCTGCTTATGTTCCAGTCTTCTTCTTTATCTGTGATATTAGATATAATCAGACAGACTGTACATTCGGCTAGCCTCGCATTGTACTTGTCTTGGGAAATGAAACTTTTTCATAAGGCCATTGATTTGTCATGTACTATAATTAATCTCTCAACTTATCATTTACTGTACACTTAAACTAGGCAATATTAATTGTCACTTTTATAATTAATAACAGTAAATCTTATCATTTTAACCAGTGAAAAAATAGAAGACAACCAAAAAATTTCACTTCATCATGAAAATATATATACTGTACTGTACTAAGCCAAATTATTTTAACTTACTACTATCACTAATTCTTTGTTTCATCCTTCATTAGTATTCAAGTCAAACTTCATTAATAGTTTTTATTTTATGATGTCATTATATTAATACAGATTTTCATTTTGCTGTATTATTTATTACTGTGTAGTTAAAATATCGCCTGTAATAAGCTTTAAAGTATTCAATCCTGACAGCCATCTGGCAAAAAAGTTAATTAATGTTATTGTAGATCTGTAAATAATTAAAAGAACATCAAAAATTTTCAGCATACCAGTACTTTTATTTCATGCCTGTTGTAAAGATTTAAATCATTCTCTCCTAACTAGTAAAAAAATCTATAGGTCTGTGGTTCCATGTTCTTTATTGACAATATGTATTAACTGATGGAACAGGCAATAAACTGATTCACTTACCAGAGTTGGAAATATCATGCAAGGTTACATTTCATTACTGTTTTCAATTACAGTACTCTGAAAGATACAATTATGTGCTCATTTATATAAACTTTATAAGTACTGTACTGTAACATACAGCATGATGACTACATCCCCCAAATACAGTACAGTATGGTACATCTTTGGTTTGGGTAATAAAAAGGGAAGCTTGGAGATTAGCCCATAACTAGAGACTTGCAGGTTTTGTATTCATCACGTATGACTATGAAATTTATAAAAAAGGAATCATATTGTTGGTTATATGATGAATTATTGCCTAATCAATGACACATGATATGGCTTTATGAGTAACTGTTCTGGTGAGCCCCAAAATCACTGAAAAATCTGGACACACAAACATAGGTATATATTACCAGACTGACATACCAGTGATTCATATCTTTCTCGCGTAATTGAAAATTAGGTTAATGTACAGCTACTCCCCGACTTACGACCTACTCGACTTACGGCCACCCGGACATACAGCCGCCTCAGTCGTACCAAAATTTTGTCAAATTACGTATTTTTGAGTCCCAACGTCAGTCATTGCACCTGTGTACTGACAAAATTTTCGTTTGTAATTCACTTTAAAATGGCTGGCAAACTTAAAAGTGAGAGTTTTGTGGTGCTGAGAAGAAAAAGAGACACCCATTTTAGATTTTCTATGTATTATTTAAGCATTTTCGACTTACGACCATTTCGACTTACAACCTGAATTTGGGTCCCCAACCCCGTCGTAAGTCGGGGAGCAGCTGTATATGGATTCTGGTCAAACTGGACTGCACTGCTAAGTGGCATCTCTCAAGGGGAATGATCACTTTCATCATATTATCATATATGGAAGTGAAGATACAGTAGTCCCTCGGGTAACGAACACAATTCTTTCCACATAGTCGTTCGTTAACCGAATCAATTATTTCAATGGGATATTGGGTAATTGGTTCCAACTCACAGAAAAAGTATACATACAAAGTACTGTATACCGGTAACAGAATTAACAAAACATTAAATATAAACTAAATACAGTTCTGTACTGTACAATATACTGTACAATAATAAATGAAAAATAGAATACTGTATTTTATCTTACTTTGAGGTGTATGTCGTATTACCGGCAGCTTCAGGTTCAGGCGCTCCAATTTCTCAGGGTAGCTGAGGTGCCGAAGTGCAGGCACCAGTCTGGTGGCCCTCCTTTGAACATTTTCAATCAATTGACAGTCCCTAGCATATCTCGGGGATCAGACGGAGTGACAGTGCTCCACATGGGGAAGCACTTCACTCTTGAAGATTGTTACAAGGGACGGACCGTCTAGATATCTGAACGACCTCCTTATAAGACCCAATAATTTATTTGCCTGATTTTCCTTCTTCTCAAATACAGTGGGGTATGCTATAACGAACGGATCCTACTACGAATATTCCTATAACGAACGGTTTTACCTATAAAATTGATAATGCTATAACGAACGAAACTCCTACAACGAACATTATAATTTTTTTTTTTTTTTACTAATTTATTGTTTCTGTATTACAAGTATTAATGATATTCTTTATTTCAAGGGTTTAGATGCATATTTATGCACTTTTTTACAATTTTTACAATTTAATATTATATTTTTCAGTGTTAAGCGGTTGTATTTGGGGGCCTGGAACGGATTAATCCTATAACGAACTAATGCTATAACGAACAAGGTTCTAGAACCAATTAGATTCGTTATAGCATACCCCACTGTAGTGCAGTTTCTCCATCCGGTTGGGACATATGATACGCCTCCTTACTGTTGGTATGCCCCAGGTGTATCCTCTTACACTTCGTGACATTGAATCTCAGCAGCCATTTCTTCAACCATTCTTGGAGCTCACAGAGATCCTTCTGCAGCTCTTCACAGTCCGCTTTTTTCTTGATTTCCCAAAATAACTTGGCGTCATCGGCAAACATTTGTATGAAGGAGTGTACAACGTCAGGCATCTCATTTATGAAACAAACATACAACAGTGGGCCCAATGCACTGCCCTGTGGTACCCCGCTTGTGACAGGTACAGATGATGATTTCGTGCCATTAATCACCACACACTGCTTGCGGTCATGTAGAAAGTCTTCTATCCACGCTAGGACATTTCCCCGAATTCCGTACCCTTCCAGTTTGATTTTCAGCCTTTCGTGGGGTACAGTCGAAACCCTTGGCAAAATCTAGGTATCTATTGTTGATATTACCACCCCATTCTAGAATATGGGTCCAAACATCCAATACCTTGAGCAATTGCGTTAAGCAGGAGCGCCCCGACATAAAACCGTGTTGGCAATCCTTTACAAGGTTGTTTCGTAGTAGATGTTCCATCGCGGCATGTCTGATAATACTCTCAAGTACTTTACATGTTATGCTGGTCAGGCTCACCGGTCTATAGTTGTCTGTGGAGTGACGATCGCCCGTCTTGAAGATAGGACTCACATAAGCCACTTTCCAATCACTGGGGATCTTTTGTTCATCCAGGCATTTACAAAACAGGATCTTCAGGGGCTCGGCAAGCTTGTTGCACAACTCTCTTAGCACTCTAGGATGCACCATGTCAGGGCCGGGACTCTTATGGACCTTTAGCTTTGACAGTTTATTTCTAATGCCCTCTTCTGTGAACACAATGTGGGTCAGTGCTGTGTCAAACCGTCTGTCCACAAACACAGGAAGGTTAATCGCATCCTCTCTTGTGAACACCGAGGAAAATAAGCTGTTCAATGCCTCAGCTTTATCCTGGTCAGAATCTGCGTAACTACCATCTTCAAGCCTCAGGTCTGATACTCCTACTCGCGTTTTTAATTTCGACTTTGCATAGCAGTAAAATACCTTTGGGTTTCACTTGACCTCGCTTGCAACCAGCCTCTGGAACTCCTCCTTTTCAGCCCTTCTACATTCTATCTTTGCTTGGTTTCTGGATCTTGCATACATCCTCCTTTCCTGCTCATTGTTTGACCCAACCCACGTCATGAATTTCTGGGTTTTCTTCTTAACTTTGTCGAACGCCGCATGGTTCATGTGTAGGGATCCCCTCGTATTCCTAGAGGCACTTGGTTTCGTCTTGGGTATATATAGTATTTCGATCAAATGAGTCACTTTATTAATTATGATATTCAGCGTAGTGTCTGCGTTCTTGTGCCTTGAGTCATTCCAGTGGATACCCCTCATCTCTTCCCTTATCCCTTTGTAAATTCCCTTGTAATATTTGCACCTTGGCCTGGCCTTATCTTGAACTAGGTAACAGTTAAATCTGAATGACAACACTATATGGTGACTGGTGCCAACTGGGGCAAGGCGTTCCAGTTTGGCCACCATACCCTCCTCGTTTGTTATGATGAGGTCTAGTGGCTTGGGTGTTTGCTCCCCTCTGTAATGTGTCGGGTCTCTAACATGTTGGAACAGAACATTATCTCTCAGTTTCTACAAAAACAGTAGCAGGGTTATTCAAGTCATTTGGGGTGAACTCGTTTCTCCAGTCGATGTCGCCATAGTTAAAATCCCCCATGATAAGAAGTTGGCTAGGGTTGAGCATTGCTGCATTGTCTATTAAGGCTCTTAAGTTCCTTTGATTTAGTGGGCCACAGTTTGGGGATCTGTAGATACACCCAACAATAAGTAAGTCCCCTTCCTTTAATTTAATTTTACACCGCTTGGACTCTTCAAAAACATCCTCTCCCTGTACCCTCACCTGGCTGGCTCTAAGGTCTTGCCTAGCATAGATAACCACACCCTTCTTGCAAGTTTCTTGAGAAAGATTCGTAAATGAGTCATATCCAGCAATACTGAACTCACATTCCTCTGGGTCGATTCTCCTGTTCTTGTACAACAGTTCTACAACTCCTACAATATCGGGTTGGTGTACCTTCAGTAGTGTTTCAAACTCCTCTCTCTTATCAAGGAACGTGTCAGTATTAGTGTACATGACATTCAAGCCAGAATTTGTTCTCGGTAACGTCTTTGCTCTTAGTAGTAACTCCGGCCCCCCTCCATTCTCAGAAGCTGCAGCATTTGCTGAGTACAACACTATTTTGCAGGGTGTGGTTAGAAATGTCATTGTTTACACGGTAGTTACCCTCCTCCCGGCTGGTAGGTGGAGCTGGTGCCACCTCCTGGGTGGTGAGTAGAGCGGGTGGAGGGTGTGCTGCTGCCCCCTGGCTCTGTGTCGGCACACCTGCTTCCACTACCCTTCCCCTGAATATAACCCATGTACACCTGTCCCCGTTCCTCCTTGACTCCTCCCTCGTCTGCTTCAAGCCCTGCAGGAGCTTCTTGTGCTGTTCCCTCTGCATTATTGTGCGATTTGGGTGAATGAATACACTCCGAAATGCTTCGCTCCTTGCTAAGCTTTTTGCCTGCCGAATAACCTCCCATTTCTCCACCTCACTCACGAGTGTGATTCTGAGGGTGTGAGGCTTATCCCCCTGCTTGTGTCCCAGCCTCCTCACATCCTGAGGGGTTGATGGCATCTTGAGAACCTCTATACAAATATTCTTAAACTGCATCTTATCGTGTATTATCCTACTGTCAGTTCCCTCCGCCTGGCTCTCAGGGACTCCAAAAACTATAACATTGTTCCTGAGCTGGAAACGTTCCCATTGTTCCTCCTCTCCCCTAACAGTATGTCCGCTAATTGTCATTTCTTTGACGCACTTCTTCAGAGTCCCTAGCTGCTGTAGAACCTGTTCTGATCCTGCAGTACTCTCTGCCACCTCCCGTGGCCCTGCTAAGGCCTCAGCATAACTCCTCTTAGCAACCACCTCCATTCTATCAGCTACTTCCTCAGTGTTTGCAAGGATCTCTTTCCCAACTTGTTCTAGTTTGGCAA